AACGTAGTTGCGGATGCTCTGAGTAGGAGATCAGACTACTTTGGAGCCGTAGTACACTATCTGGATATAGGGAGAGACCTGCAGGAGAAAGTGAGGCAAGCATATGCGCAGGACCCTATTTATAGCGACCTCCTAAAGAGAGTTAGAGAGGCCCCAGAGACTGAACCAGATTACCGCACTACAGACGGGTTGCTGTTTGAGAAGACTAATGTGTTTGACCGCCTGTGCGTTCCCAACAACGAAGAGATCCGAGATTTGATTTTAGGGGAATGCCACGATACTGAAGGGCATTTCGGTTGGCAAAAGACATTAGCCAACATGATGCGTGCGTATACCTGGTCGGGGATGAAGAATGACTGCATAGAGTATGTCCGCAGTTGTAAAGTGTGCCAGAGGAATAAGTCTACTACAYGCGCGCCCCTAGGTCTTCTCAGACCCTTGCCTATTCCGGATCAGCTGGGAGACTCCGTGTCCATAGACTTCATGGACACCCAAGTCAAGAGTAGACATGGTAAGAGCCAAGTCATGGTCGTAGTTGACCGTTTTAGCAAAAATGCAGTTTTCGTTCCTTTGCCTGCAGAGGCACGTACAGACTTAGTGATACAGAAGTTTTTTGACTTTTGGGTTAGTGAGAATGGAATCCCACTGTCGATGGTTAGTGATTGAGATAGTCGTTTCACCAGCCAGAACTGGCAAGAACTCATGAGAGTTTACGGATCTAAGTTGCTAATGTCATCTGGCCATCACCCAGAGACCAACGGTCAAACAGAACAGATGAACAAGATCCTACAGCAAGTTCTGCGCATGTACATTAGACCAGATCAGATTAACTGGGATGAGATGTTGCCTAAGGTAGCTAGTGCATACAACAACAGCGTGCATCTATGCACCTGCCGCACTCCCAATGAGTTGCACAAGTCCTTTAGACCACGCAGACCGTTCGAAGGACTGAACCAGGATCAGATTCACAGATTACCGCCCGGTACCAGGGAGTTTGCGATACAGCACGAGAAAGAACTAGCCACTGTTGTTGAAAACCTCAGGAAGGCCCAGCATAGGATGATAGAGCAAGCTAATAAGCACCGCCGCCCGTCGCAGTTTCAGGTAGGCGACTTAGTCTGGGTCAAGGCTAAAGACTTTGCACCTGAGGAAAACATCTCGCAGAAGTTACTGCCCGCATATAGAGGACCGTGGCCGGTTCTAGAAGTCAAGGGCGGAGAGGATGGACTGTCCTATAGCATTGAGATTCCAGCACACCTCCACACACACCCTGTGTTTCATGCTTCAAAGCTGTTGCCGTGTGTCACAAGTCAACAGTTCCCTTCGAGAAGATCCATGATCCCCCCAGATATGGATGGAAGTTATGACATTGAAGGCATTGTAGATGAGGATGTGTTCAGGACAGGAGGTAGAGGTCGTCCCCAGAAACAATATAAGGTCCGTTTTGCTTATCAGGAACCAGAAGACGACCGCTGGTTCATGAAAACAGAACTCCTAGAAACCGCTCCCGACATAGTCAGAGCCTATGAACGTGACAAGAAAGGTAAGGGTCCCGCCTTGGACTGAAATGTTCTCAGAGGACCTCGAATTTAGGACGGCGGGAGTGAAACGGTTTTCACCTTTTAGCATACCCAGGGTTCGATCCCTAGACCTCACCCTACCTATGTACAGTATTTGTATAGATCCCGAGAATTGAACCTGTGACCTGTGTATTCGCAGACAGTTGGTAGGTCTGTCGTAGGTCCATAGGCAGCAGGGGTTCGATCTGTAGGTCTATAGCGTAGAAGTCTTAGTGAGTTCCGGAAGCTTAGCTGTAAACCTTCTAGAAGGTAGGCAAGTGGGCAAGTGGTCAAGTGGCGAGGCAAGTGGTGGACTAAACCGCAGTGCAACAGCAGTACAACGTCGGTAGGATAGCGGTGAGTCCACAGTCAGTCAGTGGAAGGTCCAGTCAGTCCCAGTCCGGTCCAGCAAGTACCACAGSGGGACTGTGAGCACCAAGGGCCGATGGCAAAGGGCAGACCAACGAGTTTCTGAAGTATAAATCAAGAGGCAGCGCCCAGCCATCCATTCATTCCTGYGGGAGCCATGCGGGAGCGCTGCCACAGCGACTTGTGCAAGGAGGTCTGCAGACGAGCCCGGAGGACACAGTGGGCAAGAGAGAGGGAGTTAGCATAGCGATAGGTTAGATGCAGCGATGGCTGCCATAGCTGTAGTTAGTAGTGAGTGTGTATGTGTGTTCGAGTGTTAGACTGATGCGTGTGGGATATCCAGGGTGATCTAGTGTATGTGAACAGTGAGATGTTTGGGCGCTGAAGTCGCCATAGCCAATTGAGACTGAACTCTTATCTGAAAGCCATATCTCTGAGTTTTGAGTGGGCGCATGTCGCCAGTATGCTGCGTTGCTGTTTACATGCATGAAAAGTGTGTTTGAGAACAAGTCTGATTGCACTTCTGCCTACTGCTGCTTTTCTGCCCGCCCCCCTCCCCCATGCCCTCCACCCTTTGTTCTTTGCTGCGGCTTGTCATCCAAGCCTTGCCATTTTGTTTGCCTTGTTGTACTCGTCTTACCGCTGGTCGGTTTGGTTTTTGTTTTCGTTTTTCTTTTTTCCTTTCATGACTTTTGAAAGCTGGGCATTAGAAGCATTCTTTTCTATGGTCATCCCGGGCTGCGGGCTCTTTCCCGGTGTTGTTTATAAGCACACCTTCCAATGCAACATGCTGCTAAGCGGTCGCAGAAGGCACACAATACAAACATAACACACACACACACACACACACGCACACACACAATCATATACAGAAAATCACATCACCTATAACTTCTTTTCTTACTCTTGTTCTAAATATGTTTTCCTTGTGTTGTCCACTTTGTACATGTTCTGACCTTCGTGTTTTCCTGTGACTAAGAGCAGCAGCAGCTTTAAGATGTGCCAAACAGTCAGTGCCTGTTCGTTGGAAGTGCCGGAACACTATCAGGGGAACTTCTATGTTAGGCATGCCTGTGTCTCTGCGTTCTTCGGCTCCCTGGCTCTTAATGCTGTGGTGAACTCGCCGCCTGTAGGGTTCTGCTTGTGTGAGTAGGTGATGATCTGCTTTGGTCTGGGCTGTATGTGTGGACTGTCGCGTCAATGCTGTCAGGCTGCCCGGGTGCCTATCCGCTTACCTTAATGTTGCTGTGCCACTTGCCCTCTTACCTTGTTCCTTCCCGCCTTTTTCTTCATTCCTCCAAGCACACTCAAGCACACTCAAGCACACTCAAGCACACTCAAGCACACTCAATCACACTCAAGCACACTCAAGCACACTCACACACACTCGAGCACACTCCAGCACACTCAAGCACACTCAAGCACACTCAAGGACACTAAAGCACACCCAAGGACACTCAAGCGCACTCAAATACACAAATCAACCACACCAATCAACAACGAGCCAGAACCAACCACAAGCAGCCACAACCAACCACGATGAACCAAAATGAAGGATACACAACCACACAAATCATAGACCATCAAGGATGTGGAACAGTGCATAGCCGCATTTTGAAAATAAATGGGTGCAGTTGGTCTTGTCCGAACGACCACGCTGGCGACACACACTTTGCTGCTGTGTGTCGCTGGTAGGCTTACAGTCGTTAGACGATCCCCACCTGTTCAAACTCTGAGTCCAGAAAACTGAGGTCATCATCTTGTGCCTTGAGCTCCTTCAGTGCCTCCAACATCTCGCACCTTTTCAGCAGGGACAGCTGTAGAGAAGACAAATGGAAGGAGCATGGAAGCAGTCCTTCATCAATCAATCAATCAGCATTCCCCCTCCCCCCCACCCCCTTTAACTCAAACCCTCTCACACCCTGGCCCCACTCCTCGAAAGCTCCTCCTCCTCCTCATTACAATTAATAGCTAACCCAAAATTGGAGTTCAATGTCATCCTAGGAGACCACAGTTTTGGGTCTACTAATCTTCTTCTTCTTCCCCTTTGGTCTACCACTTGCAAGGAACATGAGTATGGACGAAGCACAGAAATCCAGAATGCAAAATCACACTGAAGTCCAATTATTCAAGGCCAAAGCAGATAGCACATGGAACCGAGTAACCGTCCCATTGAGAATGATACAGAAGAATCGTGAGTCAATGTCCATGCCCAACAGGGCAACACCAACAGCATAACCCAAATGTAGCTCTCTCTTGTGAATGGCGCCAGGCGCCCTATCTACTCTACAGCCTATCCTACAACTAMAGCAATGAACAGCAACCAGACAACTTGACTACCAGCGAGTGATGATGTCAACACCAATGCAGACCTCCACCATCACCAGGTACGTGTCCTCTTCCCCACACTCTCCCTTGTTACCCACACAGCGCMCTTCACCTCCGAAGTACCACCTTCGCCCTCACCTCCCCTGCACCCTCATGTGGCCCGGCTATGGCTGCCAGTGCCCTGCACGCAGGCAGCGCCCTACCGCCTAGCGCTGGCCTGCCCTGTCTTAGCGCAGCGCTGCTCTGCATAGCGCTGCACACTTGCATCTGCGCAGCGTGCCTGCATATGCCAGCGTTGGCCAAGATCCCTGCCCACTCGCCCTGCTTGCCTATATGCCAGTGTTGCGTGTGGGCGGCCTCCCTTCAGCCTGCGACTGGGCCCCAGTGCCTGAACCCAGGCCCGATACAGTTGGGGCCCGGGAGATGCAGTTGCGCCTCTTTCATCAAGGCCTGCGGCCAGATTCAGATAGTGGGCCGGTTTCCCATCAGCATGCATTGTCGGCCTCATGTTTATGTGCCCAGGGCCTAACCAACTCAGAGGCCCTGGGATTTCCGCATTTGCAGAGGTCCGAGACTCGGTGCATTCCAACCAACTGGCGTGCTGCAACTGTATGGACCCCCACTTCGTGAAATGTTTGCACAGAGGGCTCTTGTTGATTTGCTGGCCCGCCTTCACTTAGGGTGGTCACAGATCTGGCCCGCCTTCACTTAGGGCGGGCACGAGGCTTGCTGGGGGCCTATGCCCAGAACATCTGCATGTCGGCTAAGCCCCTCTGAGGGTTCAATCCTCACATTCCATCCCCCTTAGCTTCGAAAGTCCGCTGAGATGCTTACTTCGCAGGTGCCTTCCCTTGGAACTGTCTTTCATATTCAGCCACCTGAGGTGCTGTCTGTAGCAGCTCCTCTCCAGTGTATCAACGATCTTCTTYAGGATCAGTWTGATGCCTGAATCTRACCCAGTATATYCATCTGGGTYCTGGAGGTCTCCCTCTGCCCAGAGGTCTTGGAACAGGCRTGTCTCTATGCTCCAGAATGTCGTCGTCGTCCATGTGGCCATCTATGGTTGGGGGGCAGCATCGATCTCCTTGAAGGGAATTGATYTGTCTCAACGAAAAGTGCAAGCTTTGAGGCGTGAAAAATCTGGGTAGTGCACAGGTGATCAGGGATACGCATAACGTAGGATGGATCATTCAAATCATTCCCCGCTAYATCCTAGACTTACCGTGATGGATCAACTAACCTTTTATTCCCTGCCTTACCCAGAAAGCATAATCCATCAGGAGATGGTCTTTCCGGTAGGCTTCCACC